GTGAATTGTGGGCCAAATCGTCCGAATGGAAGACAATTATGTTTTTCTCGTCGATTCCGTGGTTTCGGACCACTTGATAGGCATGATATACATCGGCCTAACAGTAACACAATGTTAATTGTTAATTAATTTTATAAAATAAATATAATATGGTTATGCAAACCTGATGCCTATAATTATACCAGCCATTTGACCCAGCTACTAATACAACCCAAGTTGTACCGTTAACATTAGGCTCAAATTCTATGGCATTAATGGCCACACATAGAAGAGACAGCAATAATAAGCACTTCATCTTTTGGTTTCAATAAATGAATAAATCGTTTAATTCTTTAGAAACTTTGTAATGGTTTTACAAAACTTAATAATTTTCAATCCGTTATTTCCCACTTTTTATATGATTTTTTGAACAAAAAATTCTTATATCATATAATAATTATGTAATTCCTTTGTTTCAATGTCTGATTGAATATTACTTAAGAAACGATAAGATTATTAAATGTATTAATAGATCTTTGAATTAGAAATATCTAAAAGAGTTCATAAACTTATAATCTAACACAAAGACACAGAATGTCTCCCACTACGACCTTGCTCAATTATGTCTGGTTACATTAATCTAGTTTGAAAATTTTGTTAATAAACGATAATAAGGTCACAATTAAAAATTAATTGATTAATATTAAATATAATGTTGATTAAAGGTAATACAGAATTAAACGCAACTTAACTTATTCGATGATTTATAATCAAACGTAAGGCACAACTAATCAATCAATAGGTTTATTGAACATACATTTCAAGGTAAGCATATTATAACAAAAGGCTTTTGTTTAAAAAAGATAATAATTCAATTAGAAATATGCAAATAAAATAACAAAACATCTAGTTAAATACTTTTAAATTAAAATTAAATATACATTTTAAATTAATGTTAACAATTTGCATACATTAAAAATACTTTATATGTCCTGTATATGTAATTGTTTAATGTAATAGTAGTATTATGATTTTTAGATAACAACAATTAAAATGTTTACTCAATAAAATTAATAAATTGACTTAATATGGAACATTTTAATTCAATAATTTTGGTGAATTAGATATTTAAATATTTTTATAATATTTTGCTCACAAATACTTGTATTTATTGTATTTAATAAATTTCAAACTATGATAACAAATCGCATATTAATTTTAAATTAATAATTTATTAAACGTTGATATGACTTACTATTTAATTTCTAATTCATTATATCTGCACAAGTATTTTAAATATAATTGTTGTTATAAATGTGCATATTAATTAAATAGCAATTTAGTAATTTATAACTAGAATTAATTAATTTGAAATAAATCGTAATACAATTAAAACGACAAAATTGTTTATTAATAATTATTTTATTAAATTATTGTAGTAATAAAGATATAAATCTAATATCTGCGATTAGTATTAGTAGAATAGCTTAATTAGTTTGTAATGTTGACATTATTAAATAATTATTATAAATTATAAAATTTTATTTTAATATATTTATTTCAAAAATATTTTAATTATTATCTATAAATTTAGATATTTGGTAAAAATATTTAACAAATAATGAGGAAAATGGCATTAATTATAAAATCGAGTGGTCATAGCCTTCTGATAAGTAAAATTTGCAATAAGATATTAAACGTTCATATATTTCATCGGCTAATTCTGGCTTAAGTTGGCATATATTCACAAATACATGGAGTTTAGCGAAAACATACGGATTCTGTTCACAACAAATAAAAATTATAAAAACATACAAATAAATATGATTTAGTGATCAAATGCTCACTTCATGTAGATTAAAACAATGTTGATGGAAACCGTCCACAAGAGTGCGATAACATTGCATGTTATTTGGATGTAAGTTCTGTTTAATATTCAAAATGTCATCGTTGTTGGCCTCCAATTCCAACAAGTCTTTCACTTCATCAATAATTTTAGCGAAATGAGATATTAGCACATTTCGGGCATCAAGTAGCATCTTCAATTTTTCAGACAATCTGAATATTTTAGCAATAATTCCCTTAAATAACAAATTATATATAGTAAATAAAAACACGATTGTTTTACATTTCCCGTTCAGCGCTATCAGTGGTCATCTGAATTTTACGTTCGAGAATATGTATGTGCACATCACGTGAATCGACAGCATCAAGATCATTTAATGCAAAATTGGACGGTTGGTATGATTGAGTGTACGGTTGGGCTGAGCCTATTTGTTGCAAAACAAGCTGGGTTAATTTGAGAATTGATTCGCAACTCAATACTAACCCAAGAACAATGAAATTGGTTGATAACTTACTCTTTTATTACCAAATTGCATTACATGAGAGTGAGTCGTGTCATTCTTAACTGTTTCATACTGTTGATGAAGTGTGACCGTGGCCAGTTTACTATTTTGCATCCAACTTGCACTAAATCTATCAGCTAGAAATTTATATAATCAATAAGGAAAGTAATGTACTACGTTAAGTTTATCACTGACCAAGGTAAGTTTTTAAATTATCATCGTAATAACACGAATAACTTGATTGAGTTGAATTGGCCGCAGTGTTGGCGTAAATGTTTATTTTGTTAGACAATAATTGATTAAACATTGAACCTATAATTGGGTGCAAAATATAGATATAATGATTAATATAACGACACTATTTGTACTGATATGCGAGAAACACAAACCCGATTCACACGCTTCGATGTAAAACACGAGCTGTGAATACATTTGGTTGTCGTCCATGTATTGAAGTGCGGCGTTCAGGTCATTGGCGTATAAATAATCGTTAGGGAACGCAATTAAATCTGCAAATTTTATTAATATAAATACAGTCATAAATTGTGATCATGGTCATAAATGAATTTCAATTACCAGGTCCGCCGTGATCTGCAAAGTATATAAACACGTTATCATTTGGTCCGCTTTGAAGCACTTTTTTCCCACTTTCAGCCAAAGTTTGATCGCCTTTTATAACGCTTAAGAAATTCTGATGCCATATAATTTAATGCATTATTTAGAGTTAATTTTTTATTCATAAATTATTCAATCTACTTCTGATGTGACATCACTTCCCGTATAATGTTTGGGCACTCCTTGGTATACATCGGGTCCATTGGGTTCGTTAATGACAACTCCCGGGTTTGTGTTATTCACATTGTATGCGATGTCGTCGTAATGCATGACAATTATATTGCTGTCAGGAATGCCCCGACTCTTAACCAATTGGTAGGCGTGATAGACATCGGACTGTCATTTAAACAGTTAAACAAAATAGCTAAATTATTATTTCAATGTAAACATTTTAGTCAATACCTGATGCCTATAGTTTTCCCAACCATTTGACCCTGCTACCAACACTGCCCAATTGGACCCATAGAACCCCTGGCCATAAACGTTTGCAGATATTGGTTTATTTGTAAATAAACAAAATACTAATAATATATAATTCATCATTATTTGGTCGGTATAATAATTTCACTCAATTTAGTAAAATTAAACAAAACTTTGAGATTCAACTGCTTTAAAACCACAATTTATTTTAAACTAGTTACACTATTTTAAAGTACATGTTATACAATTCAGTGTTACATTTGATTTTAATGAAATTGACATTCGGTAAAGTTCAAACATTTTTTATTAAATTATTATATTAATTGTCAAGTTTTAGTTTATTGCCAATATTTATGTCAAAATTTCACAATAATTTTACAATATAGCAGAAATGTATTTATTTAAAATACATTGATTTTAAAATGACAAACATTGAAATATTAATTCAATGAAAATGTCTAACATATGTTTTTAATAAATAGGAAATTTCCAATTAATATTTACGATAATTAAATAATTTAGTACATCTATGTTATTATTTTTATGCAGTTTCTGTAAGTGAAACATCATTTATATAATCGGGTGTCCGTATCCTTCCGACAGGTTTTGTTTGCAATAAGATATCAAACGTTGAGATACTTTTTCAGCCAACTCTGGCTTCAGTTCGCATATATTCACCAAAACATGCAGTTTAGCGAAAACATACGGATTCTGTTGACAACAAATCACAAAACAGTAAATAAAATTCAATTAACAATGAAAATAAACAAATTAATGAAAATTATATTTAGCTGTGGTGTCAATCAAATGCTCACTTCATTCAAATCAAAACAGTTTTCATGGAAACCGTCGACAAGAGTGCGATAACAGCCCGTGTTATTAGGGCTTAGGGTCTGTTTGTTGTGCATAATATCATCGATAACTTCCAATTCCAACAAGTCTTTAACTTCAGTAACGATTTTAACAAGGTGCATTATTAGAAACTCACGGGCCACTAGGTAGATCTCTAATTCTTTAACTAATCTAATTATTTTAATCATAAATTCAATTATATTTTAATTAATAAATGGCAAATAATTAGAAAAGTGTTTTACATTTCTCGTTCAGTACTATTAGTAGTGCTCTGAATGGTCTTATTGAGGGCATGTATGGGAGCATCATGGGCATCCACAGCATCAATGTCATTTACCGCGTTTAGAGCGTGACCGGACGATTGCCCTGAGCCTATTTTGCCAAATAAACTAGTTAATTTGAAATGGATTTTGTCAAGTTGATTTTAAAACTGACCCAAAAATAACGAAACTGGTTCATTACTTAAAACAATATTACCAAATTGCATTACTTGAGAACCAGTGGTGAGTTTCTGAACAGTTTGATACTGATTCTGAAGTGTCATGGTGACCAAATTACTAGACTCGCTGTTTTCCAGCCAATTCACGCTAAATGAATCACCTGTACTAAAATGTATTTAATATAATGTGTATAAATGTAAATAAAATTTAATCAATAGAAGGCAACAGTTTATGTTTGATATCTGACCAAGGAAAGTCTTTCGATCATTATCATAATAACAAGAATAACTAGATTGCGTTGAATTTGCCGCAGTATTGGCATAAATATTGATATTGTTTGGTAAAAGTTTTTCAAACATTGAGCCTATAATTGGGTACAAAATATAATTAACAAAAGTTTTAATTTGCAATTATATGAATGCAATACAAACCCGATTCACACGCTTCGATGTAAAATACAAGCTGTGAATACTTTCGTTTGAAATGCATGTATTGAAGTGCGGCGTTCAAGTCCTCGGCGTATAAGTAACCACTGGGAAAGGCGATTAAATCTACATTTTTAATTAGACAAAATTGTCAATGTAAATATAATTTCATATATTATGATCATGGTTTAAGAATGAGCTTTAAATACCAGGTCCGCCGTGATCTGCGAAGTATATAAACACGTTATCATTTGGTCCGCTTTGCAGCACTTTCTTCCCTCTCAGAGACAGCAATGGATCGCCTTTTATGACACTTAAGAAGTTCTGATATCATATATTAAAAATCATTATTTAAATGAAATGCATTTATTTGCATAAAATATTTAATATACTTTAGGCGTGACATCAATTCCAGTATAATGTTTGGGCACTCCTTCGTAGACATCGGGACCAAAGGGTTTGTTAATAATTTTTCCTGGGGTCGGGTTATTAGCATTATATGCGATGTCGTCGTAATGCATGACAATTATATGACTGTCAGGAATGCCCCGACTCTTAACCAATTGGTAGGCGTGATAGACATCAGACTAACATTTAAACAATACAATTAAATAACTAATTTGTTGCTTTGATTTGTAGCAATACCTGATGCCTATAATTTGACCAAGTATTTGACCCTGCTACCAACACTGCCCAATTGACTCCATTAAACGCCTGGCCATTAATATCTAAAAATAAACCAAATAACGACAGCAATAATATGTGTTTCATTTTATAATTTAAATAGTTTAAATATTTTCACTCAATTCAGTAAAACTTAATAAATACTACTAAAATCATTTAAAAACACAATTTATTGCAATCTAATTTTAATATTTATGTGCATATGTTATACCATTGAACGCACACTTGATTTTAGTGACAATTTAACAAAAATTTAAATTGTTTAGTTTTTAAGTTTTGCATAAAATAAAGCCCAGAAAAATACACAAAACATAAAACAAAAGAAATTTTGTGTCCATAACGTTGCAAACTATTATTATATCAAATGTTTAATTACATAGAAAGATATTTCTTATTAATTGATTGTTGCAAATCACTATGCGTTGAATAATCAGTTTATTAAATAAAATTTACAATCGTTTTAGCAAATTATATGACATTATACTAAATATTTAAATAAAGAATTTTTAAAAACTTAACAAAAATTAATTTTTTATGTCGTAATTTAGATTTGAATTTATTAGTAATAGAAAACTTGGTTTATATGCAAACCATGATTAACGTGACTTAAATAATCGGGTGTTCGTATCCTTCCGATAGGTTTTGTTTGCAATACGATATCAAACGTTGAGATACTTTTTCAGCCAACTCTGGCTTCAATTCGCATATATTTACCAAAACATGTAGTTTAGCGAAAACATACGGATTCTGTTGACAGCAAATCACAAATAAATAAAATTCCGTTAATAATAAAAATAATAATTATATTTAGCTGTGGTGTCAATCAAATGCTCACTTCAGTCAAATCAAAACAGTTTTCATGAAAACCGTCGACAAGAGTGCGATAACAGCCCGTGTTATCTGAGCTCAGGCTCTGTTTGCTATTCATAATGTCTTCGATTGCCTCCAATTCCAACAGATCCTTAACTTCAGTAACGATTTTAACAAGGTGCATTATCAGGAACTCACGGGCCACTAGGTAGATCTCCAATCTCTCAACCAATCTGATTATTTCAGTCATAATTTCAATTAAATTATGGTTAATATATGGAAAATAAGCATAAAATTTGCATACATTTCCCGTTCAGTACTATTAGTAGAGGTCTGAAGTGTGCGATTGAGAGCATGTATGTGAGTGTCGCGGGCATCGACAGCATCGATGTCATTGGCTGGGTTTGCACCATAACTGGACGGTTGGGTCGAACCTATTGTGTTAACAATATGATTAATTTGAGAATTAATTAGTAATTCAATACAAACCCATGAACAGTGAAATGATTTGATTGCTTATGGTGATATTGCCATATTGCATTACATTAGAATCAGTGGTGAGTTTCTTAACAGTTTCGTATTGATTCTGAAATGTCATCTGGGCCAAATTATTAGCTTCACTATTTTGCATCCAGTTTGCACTAAATTCATCAGCTAGATATACAAAATTAATAATCTAGAAATACTAGCAAAATGAATCTGGCTATTCAAGATGACTGACCAAGGTAATTGTTTATATTCTGATCGTAGTAACACGAATAACTGGATTGGGTTGGATCGGCCGCAGTGTTGGCATAAACGTTGATATTATTGGGCAATAATTGATCAAACATTGAGCCTATAATTGGATTAATTGTAATTTTATATAATAGATATGATTATGAAAATACAATTTTATAATTACTAAAACAAACACAAACCCGATTCACACGCTTCGATGTAAAAGACAAGCTGTGAATACATTTGGTTGTTATACATGTATTGAAGGGCAGCGTTCAGGTCCTCGCCGTACAGGTAGTCGTGTGGAAACGCGATTATATCTACATTTTTAATTAACGTAAATACAATTTACAATTATGATCATGGTTATCAATGTGTTTTAAATACCAGGCCCGCCGTGATCTGCAAAGTATATAAAAACGTTATCATTTGGTCCGCTTTGCAGCACTTTCTTCCCGCTTTGAGCCAACGTTTGATCGCCTTTTATAACACCCAAGAAGTTCTGATAACATATCATATATTATTTAATAAATAATTATTATATTTTATATATAACTTTGTATATTATTACAATATGTAATTAATTTATATTCACCGTCGATGTGACATCAGCTCCTGTATAATGTTTGGGCACGCCTTGGTATACATTGGGTCCATTGGGTTGATTAATAACAACTCCTGGGTTCGGGTTATTATCATTATATGCAATGTCGTCGTAATGCATGACAATTATATTGCTGTCAGGAATGCCCCGACTTTTAATCAATTGGTAGGCGTGATAGACATCGGACTATGATTTAAACAATTTAATTAAATAACAAAATCTTTGTTTTAGTTTTAACTGTACCTGATGTCTATAGTTTTCCCATGTATACGACCCTGCTACTAATACTGCCCAATTGGCCCCATTGAATGTCTGGCCATTAATATCTGCAATTAAATATAATAACGATATCAATAATATGTGTTTCATTTTATAATATTTATCACTGAATTCAGTAAAACTTAACAAAAGCTACCAAAATGTTTTAAAGTAACAATTTATTGTAATTTATTTGCATTATTTATAAGTTATGCAAACATGTTATACAATATAATGTTAACCTTAATTGCTGTCAATTTAATCACAATTTGACAAAAAATTATATTTATTAAATGTATAAGTTTTATAGTAAACACTATTTACTAAACAGTTGGTAAAAAAAATAGACACAATATAACATGTTTTGTGTCAAAATGTATCTTTGTTTTCAGATAATTCTACATTAAATTTACAGTTTAGTAAATTATAGTTAATCTAAAGTAAAATTTCATAATTTTATTTATAATTTAATTCAAAATATAATTATAGATAAAACTTTATTAACACATAAAATGTCAAGCAACTTCCGTAAAATGTGCTTGTTTGTAATTAATTGGAATCGATTACTTTTTAATTTATAGATAAAAAGTTGAGCATAACTTATTTAAAGCTAATTAAACATAAACAGTATCTATAGTATCTAGATTCTTTAGATTATATATACAATAGATTGTATATCTCAAAATGTAGTAAAATTAAATTAATGTATGAATAAGTTAATTTATTAATACACTAAGTTAATACATAAGTTAATATATTAATATATAATAATTTGTTAATTCGTTAATTTATAAATTAATGTAAGTAAAGTAAAATATGAAAATGTTTTGAAATGTTTTAAATGTGAATCAATAGATGTCATTAAATGCATATCTTTTAACGTTTCTCACAAAAGTGGGATAAATGTTAGCCTAAATTATGGGTTTTATTTGGGTATATTCTGGTCACTATTTGTGATAATTGAATTAATGTGCACATAACTGACCATGAACATATTATGGGAAAGACATGTTAATGTTATGGATCTTAAAATATTATAACATGTTATTTATATCGGTTTGAAAAGATCTGCAGTATTTTTCTTTTACAAAGTGGCTTTTTGTGTAAGAATTATTATTTATAAATAACTAATTATAAATTACTAAATTATATGGTTTTCCTAAGAATACTGTAATAGAGTAGAACTGATTCAATAATTTATATTTATTGTAACATTTTTAAATAAACATTATGATTATGAATGATAAATAAAATTATAATAGGCATAAAAATCACAACATTTGACATTATTTGATATATTGATATTTAACTAAAAAACTGGTAAAAATTGGGTTTACATAGAGTTAGTGATGAAATGCAAACATTAGACCTGATTATAGAGTATTGTCTGAAAAATTTTCTAATTTACTGCAAATATGATTCAGTGCTCATCACTACTCGCTTTCCTAAGCATAACAAGCGATGCATATAATTGTCTGTAATTAAAATTAATGCACTAAATCTCATGAGAGCTCCTGTCATGTGCTCTCATATATGCCTCAAATATTGTGATTTTTATGCCTATTATTATATTTTATTTATAACTTCTTAATTAATTTATATTCACCGTCGGTGTGAC